TGTGTGTGTGTGTGTGTGTGTGTGTGTGTGTGTGTGTGTGTGTGTGTGTGTGTGGTGGGTGGTTCTGAGCATCTGCTTTTGTGCGCGTGTGTATGTGAGCGTCATTAGAATTTGCCGGTTTCTTTGCTGTCACATCCAGTGGCTCATTTTCCCCCCAGAGCAGTGAACCTGTTGTTGTTCCCGAGTATTTTTACCTGAGCGTTTCTGGGTAATTGTCATGGAGAGCAGTTTCTCCAGAGAGCTGCTCTTGTTTCTTTCAGGTCATTCTTAAAACATGCTTCACCCCTTCCCCCGGTATATGGGTTTTACTGTTCTGTGACTTTCCATGTATTTAGAGGGGCAGCAGCAGAAAGGGGAATGCAGTTCCTGAACTTACAGATTAGTCCCAGAAAGGGGGGCGTGTCCGGCATGGGCTGGCAGCTTTGTCCCATCCCATGACTCTTCAGTTAATCATGAGCAAAAGCAGACAAGTAACACCAGAGTTGTGGTGGGGCATGAAGAGGCGGCTGATGGGAGAGATGGGGTTTAATCACGTGGGAGCAGATTGCCGTCTCCAGCCATCTCCGAGCGCGCCAGCCCAGCCCAGCCCAGCCCAGCGGGAAATAGAGCCACAGTTTTTCCACCTGAATTTATAGGCCTCTTAGGGCTTTTAATTTCCTCCCTGCATCGCTGCAGAATTAATAGCTTCCCTGCCGTAAAAATAAATTGAATATTGGAACAGGGGAGGCAGGTCCCCCCTCTGCAAAGCAGGCTGCCTTTCACAGGTGGTGTTTAAACGACTGTGTGCATGGAAGCTCAGCTCTGGGTGAAACGCATTGGCCCGGCCCCACCCCCCCACAGTCTTTCCTTAATGAAACAATCTCGCAGGTTCCTGCTGAACTGATGCGGCTGTCACTTTAAATGCAGTTGTCAGATGAGCTCCTGTATGTGCCGGGTTAGCGGGGGGGGGGGGGGTGGTGCAAGTTTTGCAGGGAGCCCCTGTCTGCCTGGAGGGTGTGAGACCTTCAGCTTAAGTCTAGCAGGGGAAAGAAGCTCTTCAAGATTTAAAGTGAAACGCCGCATGGTGGTGGTTTCCATGACAGCAGGCACGTCAGGCTGCAGGTCGGGGGCAGGGGGGTAAGGGAAGGAGCACAATGGGACAAGAGGGGAGCTGCAGACCCAGGAGGGGAGGTCTGTCTGTCTGTCTGTCAGCTGCTCATATCTGGTTCCCCTCCCCCCCCCTTGCATCCCGCCATCCTAAGGTTGAGACACAGAGCTCTGATTGCAAGCAGCACAAAAACCAAAAAAAGTCAACCAATCCCCAAAAGTGTGCCTGCCGTCCAGAGAGACCTGTGACCTGTGCACCCTTTCAAAGCCCTCAGGAGGCTGCAAGCACTGAATCATGGCCAGGAGAACATTACGCTCTGCTTGTGGCACCCCAGAGCTCGCCGGCTGCCTGCTCTATCAGTTTGTCTTCCCAAAAAATCAGTGGTGTTTTCTATGCTAAACACCCATGTCACACATACTGGGGTGGGCGGGGGGGGCTGATCCCAGGATGGCTCCGGTGTAAACGTGTCCCCCCCCTCGCCCCCGCAGAGCGAATCAGGCAGACATACGGCGAGCTGCCCGGGGAGCTGCTGCTGGTGGAGTTGGACAAGGAGCGGCAGGGCCTGGGCCTGAGCCTGGCAGGAAACCGCGACCGCTCCTGCATGAGCATCTTTGTGGTGGGCATCGCGCCCGGGGGGGCGGCGGCCCGCGACAGCCGCATCCGCATCGGGGACGAGCTGCTGGAGGTAAGACCCCCCACCCCCCTCTGCCTTGCCGCCCGGGTCCAACTTACATGCAAAATGAGGCCTTTCCCTCCGTGCCAACTTCCATCCAGCCAGTCGTGCCTCCGAGCCCAGGAGGGGCAGCGTCTCCCGCTTAATATTAATGATGGACAGCACTCTCGCTTCCCCGCAGGGAGACGCATTTCCCTCTGTGCATTTCTGAAGGGCTAATCCAAACTAATCCAAAGGTACCAGCGGGGAAGGTTTGTTTACCAGTCACATCATTTGGATGGAAATTCCCACCTTTGCTTTGTGTGGTGTCACTATGACCTCCCGTTAATGCAGGATATGTAGCGGAAAATAACGCTGTGTGCCTCACATGCTTCCCTGTGCCCTTTAAAGGTCGGTCGCATCATTATGTTTATGGTGGCAGTTTGCACCTGAATCCTGTCCAGCCTGTGACCTGAACTAGGACAGGGACAGTGCTACATGGTGGTGGTGATGATGAATGTGCTTATGACATCATCAGTACTCATGTGTTAAGCTCTTTTTCTTTCCTCTCTTTTAAGATTAACGACCAGGTTCTGTATGGCAGGAGTCACCAGAATGCCTCAGCTATCATTAAGAGTGCTCCCTCCCGGGTCAGGATTGTTCTCATCAGGTGAGCTCCCTCCTGGACGGGACACTGAGTCGCCCCTCAGCTCCCTTGTTGCCCACTTTGTCATCGACGGCATGCCCTAGATCGGCCGTCCGTCTCCAGCCCTTGGAGCGCCTTGTTTTTACCCACCGCCCGTCTGTCAGGGGGTTCACGAGGGACACAGGCCAGATGAGACCCCACTGCCCTGTTCCCCATGATTAGTTATTTCCAGCCTGGTCGCCATGGAGAACGTGGCCTACCTAGAGTCCCTCTGTAATGAATTACTGTACTAAACCTTAACAAAAGTGCCTGCCACATTTTGAGGAAATAAGACGGCAATGAGGAGTTTTTTTTCCACATAAGAAATGCAGAACTTCTATAGACATGGTTGTGCTGCTTCCCTGTGCAATTCCCTGTGCAATGTTGTTTCCCAATATTGAGCTGTGTTGCTCTGTGCAGTGCCCTGTGCTAAGTTGTTTCCCTTTGCAGTTTTGTTTTCCTCTACTGTGCTGTATTTTCCTGTGCAGGGTCTCTGCAGTGATGTTTTCCTTGCTGTGCTGTGTGTCCCTGTGCGGTGCCCTGTGCAGTTCTGTTTCCTTTCTGCTGTGCTGTGTTTTTCTCTGTCATACTCTCAGCTGGGCCCTCTGCTGTGCTGTTTTTCACTCTGCTGTGCCCTGTGCTGTGTTTCATTCTTCTCTGTTGTGTTTCCCTATGCTGTGCCCTCTGCTGTGCTGTTTCCCTTCTGCTGTGCTGTGTTTTCCTCTGTTATGCCCTCTGCTGTGCTGTTTCCCTGTGCAGTGCCCTCTGCAGTACTTTTTTCCTCTGCTGTGCTGCTTTTCCCTCTGCAGTGATCCTTCCCTTTCAGTGATTGTTTCCCTCTGCTGTGCTGTATTTCACTGTGCTGTGCCATGTTTCCCAATGTGGTTCCCTCTGCAGTACTGTTTCCTTCTTCTGTGCCATGTGTCAGTTGCTATGCTGTTTCCCTGTGCGGCGACCTGTGCAAATCTGTTTCCTTTGCTGTACTGTGTTTTTCTGTGCAGTGCCCTTGCAGTGCTGTTTTGCTCTGCTGTACTGTGTTTTCCTGTGCAGTGCTTCTATTGTGCTGTGTTACCCTGTACATTTCCCTCTCCTTTGCTGTATTTTACTTGTTGTGATGTTTCCCTGTGCAGCACCCTATGCAGAATTGTTTCCCCAGCTGTACTGTGTTTTTCTGTGCAATGCCGTTGCAGTGATGTTTTCCTTGCTGTGCTGTATTTCATTTACTGTGCTGTGTCTCCCTATGATGTGCCCTCTTTTTTCCTCTGCTGTGCTGTGTTTCCTTGTGCAGTGCCATCTGCAGTGATGTGTCCCTCTGTTTTCTTGTGAGCTGCCAGGGCCGCTACGTGTTTCGTTTGATCGTACTGTTATCTATGTTAAACTGCAAGTTGTTCCTTGTGAGAGGTCTGGTTGGACCCAGGCCTGTTAGTCCAGATCAGTGCACACCCAAGTATCTGTCAGGGGTTGATCCACCTCACAGGCCCCAAGTAATGGTGTAATCTATTTACCCATATTGGCAAGGGGCGTAACTTAGCAACAATCTCATCAGCACACACCCTAAAGCAAACACAGTGAGATAACTACTCCACTGTCTCCTTTACATACCAGTGATGTAAATGGCAGTGAGTGTGACACCAGGACCCCGTGGCTGTGAGCTCCCACAGCTGTGGTCTCCAGTCCTGTCCTCCACTATGTTCTTTTGTGAAATGAGGTTCTGCGTAATCACATTTTTGCGAGGGAGGAGCAAACAAAGAAGCGGGTCTGTCAGGTTCTATGAGGAGATGCTTTTAAAGGACTCCTTCACAAGGAAGCGTGTGTGCCGTAAACCTGGGACGTTCTCTCAACATCCCACGTGATTAATGTAGAATCACATTATGTGTGCTGCTTGCTCTCAATTCATATCCGCTTCTGTTTTATGGTGTCTTACTCTGAGGAATACAGCACGGGTCCTGTGGAGTCACACATCACATGAAGAAAAGTTGGATCAAACCCCGTTCAAAATGTTTTTGTCCTCAGAATGACATAAGTGTTTGTAAGTGTGTACTGTCTCCGGGTTCCTGTGTGCAACGCCACTCTGGCACCAATCGTTATCATAAATCACATGCAAGGGCCAAAGATCGCCCATCGAATCACTGATTAGGGGGGTTCTGTCTTATTCCCATGGTGACAGTAGTTACCATGGATGCAGGCACACTGACTGGCTGCAATGGTCCATGTCCTGTGTGGAGCTGGGCCCTCACCAGTGCCGAGCGTGCGCTGTCCTTCCCGGCTGCTGTTTATCAGTGTAAGCTGCAGGCTGATGGGTCAGTAAATTCTCTGCCCCCCTGCCTCCACCATGATACAAAAGAAAAACACATTAGCTGTAATTGAAATTCGGTCACTGAGTGGGCTGGTCGGAGGGAGAGGAAGGGAAGGTTCCAGATCTCCCTCTCTCTGACAGTGCCCCAGCGTGACCCGATCACCGCGATTGGGCTCCGCATGGATCCCGAAGGTGACGAGAAACGCTGGGTCAGAACCCATGATGCTGAAGTGGATTTCCGGCCCGGTGAGAGGTCTGTGGAGCAGGCTTCCTGTCTTGGGACGCAGGACGACTGGATGCTGGGTGTCATTCCAGCTTTGCTTGGACCTTTGCGGTCTGAGGTGATGCGCTCGGCCTCTCCATCCTCTGTCCTTATGGGTACAGATCCCTGAGTTACAGGCCTGTGTGGTTTTACATGGTGCCCAGCCTCTATATTCTGCCATTTTTAAAATGATGGATGAAATACAATTTAAGAGGAAGTAAATGGTGCTCAGGATAAGGTAAGGTAAGGTGCTACGCCGCTCTCCTCCTGAGAGCCGCTCTCCTCCTGAGCACTGTCCCAGTTCCACATCCCGGCACAGCGCCTCCCCTGCTCTGTCTGCGCTGCTCTTGCCTTGTTGCCAACCCTCAGGTTGTGCAGATCATAACCTTTGACCCGTTTGCACCCCAGTTTGGCCTCACTCTGATGTTTATTTTAATCACACCTGGCTGATCCCTACTCCAAATCCGTTCGCCTTTTCATGCGACCAATCGCATGGCTCCGTGGTGCCGCCCTGCAGTCAGCGACCCTCGTACGCATGGCCCTGTTTAATTGGCTCTGCTCGGCTGCTTAGGGGCACATGCCCCCCCCCCCCCCGGTCCCCCTGGCACCCCTACTCAGTGCCACCTCACATGTTTGGATGTCCTCCCTGACGAGTTCTGGATGCATCACAGGGCCACGTGTCGGGTCCCCTGCATTAGCACCTGAACATCTGTTAGAGAGTGGAGAGCGTGGGAGCCCCTGCCTCAGCAGATGGGGCTCCACGTCCTCTTCTGCTTCCGAGACGGGGATGCCATCAGAACCTCTCATTTTCTGCTTTGAATAGGAAACTGCACTGTCATTATTAATAACATTATTATGGTGATGCTATGAGGCTTGTTTAGGTGTCGCCATACCATATATCTCCAGAGGATGCTTTTCCGATGTTGGCTTCCCTGCTGCTTTTCCCTGCAGTGAAGGTCGCTCTCGCCCCCTCCTCCTCTGTTCCCTGCCCCCTGATGAGTGTATATGTGATGCATATTGTCCTCTTTCCCTGCAGGAACGAGGATGCAATCAATCAGATGGCCGTGCCGCCCTTCCCCGCCCCGCCGCCGCCCATCGTCCCCCCTGAGGTGAGCCGTGTCTCCCCCCACCTCCCCGCTGAAACCTCTGGTTCCTCCAGGCCACCCTCACCATGAAAACGGGTCGATACTGCGGGTCACAAATCGACATGTCTCACATTTCCATGCTATGTTCACTGACGGGGCTGCAAGTGGCCTGAATGATGGAGGGGGTGTGCACTCCTGTTCCACGTGTCCCCATGTTCCCTCGGAGACTGATAACATCTGCCTGCCTGCCTGCCTGTCTGTCTGTCTGTCTGTCTGCCTGCCTGCCTGCCTGCCTGTCTGTCTGCCTGTCTGCCTGTCCATTAATCTTTCTCTTATTTCTCTGTCTATCTAATCTGTATATTATGTCTTATCTCTCTATAATCTATTTATTTTGGGTGCAACAGTACTCAAAATTCACAGTTCGATACACTCCTCAGTTTTGGGTTCACAGTTGGGTGCAATTTTTTTGCAGCAGGGGGAACTGAATTTTGATTTCAATAATTTAATTATTACTATTACTATTATTATTATTGTTATTTTAGCCCAGTGTGAATTTCCTGGCAATGCGCCTTAAATGCCACAGGGAGACGTCTTCACTTGCAGAAGCTGTTTCTGCCGCTCGTGTCTTACACTCAGATGTCTCAAATAAATAATATTTGTTTCAAATGAGTTATTATGTTGGATGCATTTCCAGCGAGTTTGGTATGACACAGCTGACAGTCTTGGTCTTATCAACTACTGTCTCTTTGCAGTGCTGGTGTAATTTATTGGGAAACCAAAACGTTCCCAAACCGGTGATTATGACTGACTGTAACCAACTTTTGCCGTAACCAACTCACAGCCATAATTAGCGTTTTCCATGTTGAACATATACTTGAGAATTTAGGTTCCGCCCTTGTCAATAAATATATTCATGCCGTTCGTTGTGCAAACCAAACCAACAATGTAACCCAGTTTTTTCCAACCTGGTCCTTGGGGATCCACAGACAGTCCACGTTTTTGCTGTCGGGAGCTGGGAGGGAGCAAAAGTGTGGACTATCTGTGGATCCCCAAGGACTGGATTGGGAAACGCTGGTGCAACCGAATGGCACACGTTGAATATATGCAGTGTTCCGGCCCCGTCAATCCATCTGTCTGTCTTTCTCTGTAGCCCTACCAGAACGCCGTGTCCCTCGAGGACACGCCTTTGCCAGTTGACAGCCTGGCCCTCGGCACCGACCGCCCAGAGACCCCTGCGGCCAAGGTGAGGCTTTGCCCATGGGTCTCGTGAGAAGAGGCCACGTCCAGGGCTCCCCTCTCTTTAGCTGGGTGTTATTTTATTGTCCAGAGCACTGACCCCACCTCCTTTTCTGCAGGAGATGGCCGCCTTGGAGCCTGGGGGGGGCATGGAATCCTCCTTCGGGGACACAGCCCGTAGGACCCTCAGCGAGAGCGAATCGGCCTCTAAGGTGAGCGTCATGGCGGGAAGACGCCCTGGGGACGGGAGCGTCACGTAGTGCTCAATACCCAGTCAGCTTGAGCTGCTTCCTTTCTGTTGCCTTGGTTTGTGTTGGGTGACACCAGGTTATGATTGGCAGTGTGGCATTAGTCACTGTCTGCTTTGTTCTTCCAGGTCTCCAGCCTCCCTAAACTCTCTAAGAGCCTGAACATGCTGCCCTTAGACAAGCCCACGTCCCCCTCTGCAGCTCCTGCCCCATCCAGTGCCAGTCCCGACCCTGAGTACTGCTGTCCAGGTACAGGCCTGTCCCACCAAGTCTCGCTTGCAGAGGGACCGTCCACAGTTAGTGGTCATGATTTCTCCTCTGTTTTCCTCTGTCTCCAGATCCAGCCACTTGTCCCATTGTCCCCGGTCAGGAGACGGTCATCGAGATCTCCAAGGGTCGCTCGGGGCTGGGCCTCAGCATCGTGGGGGGGCGGGACACGCAGCTGGTGAGCGAAGCCTTTGCTCCCCTTCCCCAACCGCTCCTCCTCCCCTGCAGACGGGGAAGCCCAGCAGGTTACTGTACGTCTCTGTACAGTCTCGGTACTAGCTGGTCATATTAACCTCTCATCTACCAGCTGGCTGTGTAAACAACGGCTCACAGTGTTAGTATGAACCAGCTGAAGTACCTTCATAAAGCTGCACTGAGCTAACCAACAGCTCGCAGACGCCATCAGAGTGTGGGAGCACAGCCTTGCCTGGTAGTGGCCCCTAGTGGTCCCCAGATGGGCCCTTACACATATTTTTCTTCCCTCCACTTATCTTTGCGAGCATCAGGGTTTGTCATCTTCACTGATGAATCGGTTAGTGATGCCAGTTCCAGGGGCAGTGTGGAGGCCCAGTGGCTGTGTACAGACCCCCCTGCAGGGCGTGTGTTCACCTCCGCAGACTTGCGGAGAAAGGGCCTCAGTTATTCAGCAGGGATGGGACTGAAATTTGCAGCAGTGATCTTCAGTGTGAGGGTGACGGCCTGAGCAGACCTGGCAGCATTGCTCTGAAATAAGCCACCGGGCATCCTGGCCAGACGAGAGCAGAGACAGGCTTCCCGTCTTGGGAGGCAGGATGGCGGGAGGCAGGGGGCCATGCTGGGGTTGGCGCTCTGCTCTGTCCTTTGCTGTGTGAGATTATGGGCTGTAATGTCAGAAGGGGGGGGGGGTTGTGAGGTCTGACTGTGCTTCTTCAGTGTAGGTAGGACTGAGGCAGCAGGAGCACATGAGCGTCCGGCATAACGAGGCTGTAAATATTAACCAAAATCAATGGACGTAGGACAGTGCTGAGATATTGACTGTTAGGAAGAGGAATTGCACTGGAACCCAGACAAAGCACATTTACCTGAGAATGATGTATAAATGGCATAGAAGTGGAGTTTCTAAGGCATCACCCCCTTCCAGCAGAAGCTCACCTGGGGGGGGCTGCAGCTCTGGACAGGCGTCTGCCTTCAGTCTATTCTGACCATCACAACCCCCCCCCCATTTCAGATTGAGACCCTAATTTCTCATCTACTGGTTGAGGTTGCTGCACTCAAACCAATTTCATCCCAATGAAGCCCTCGTGAGCAGCGCCGTCTTGCAGCCGCCGTCACGGGCAGCAACCGCTGAAAGCAACAGCCGTTTCAAATTGAATTGGGCCTTTTCTAATTAACACAGAGAAACAGAGCGTCATGATGGAGAAGCCGGAGATGGATGAGGGCTGCGATGAATGTGGACGTTTGGGGCCTTTGGAGCGATGCTGCATGCCTAGAGCTCCCTGGGAATAAGCCTGACTGCTGGCATTCCCACTGGAATGCCGTGTCCTGCTCTGCGGCGCCCTCTGCTGTGCTTCAGGGCTGCTGCACTTCCTGCTCACAGTTATTTAAGGGAAAACCGTTTCAGGGTGTTAAAAGAAATGAGGGACCTTAGCCAGTAGGGGCTCGCGGGCATCACACCTTCCTGCCTCTCGCCCACTGCCAGGATGCCATCGTGATCCATGAGGTGTACGAAGAGGGGGCAGCAGCCCGAGACGCCCGGCTCTGGGCTGGAGATCAGATCCTGGAGGTGAGTTTACGGCCTCGCCTCCATACAGCATGCTCACCTGGGCACCAAAGCCCCACATTATCTGCCTGACAGCTCTGTAACCTCATCGCCAGAGGGGAAAATAGGCCGGCGTTGCACTGTAGTTGTCCTAAAGAGATGCTGTCTTTGTGCGTCCCTAGCCGACGTGATGCTGCCATCTAGTGGCCGAAGTTGGCAATGCGCTCTGGCCCTTTGCACCCCTGAAAGCATACAGCAATGGCATGCGTGCACGTTGCAGGTAAATGGCGTGGACCTGCGTGGCGCTGCGCATGAGGATGCCATCACGGTGCTGAGGCAGACCCCGGCCAAAGTGCGCCTGATGGTGCTGCGAGATGAGAGCCAGTACCGTGATGAGGAGAACTTGGACGTGTTCCGCGTAGAGCTGCAGAAGAAAACCGGCCGTGGTTTGGGCCTCAGCATAGTCGGCAAGCGGTAACGGGGACACTGCGCCGGCCTGTCCCACCTACAGTTAGCAAAGACACCGTTAGCATGTAGCCTTAGAGTGCTTTGGGAGCCTGTGTGAATGCTGGCTTTTGTGGGTGGTGTGTAGGTATAGAATCTGTACTTGTGTCCAGAAGGTTGTGGGTTTGAATCCCATGTCTGGTGAGTAAATTGTGAGGCCCTTGTGCAAGGCTCTGACTGATTGGTAGGACACATGTATGGATAACTAACCTGCTGCTGTTGGCTCACTTTTGTTGTGTGGGTTTTAAGGCTGGTTGATCAGTATAATTGTTCTGAACAGCAGCAGCTTCTTTCACATCCTGTCCATTTTATTTATCTTGCTTTTTTCCTTCTCTCTCCTCCCTGCCCTCCTCCCTCCTCGTCCACGCGGCCCCCACAGCAATGGAACCGGCGTGTTCATCTCAGACGTGGTCAAGGGTGGTGCGGCCGACCTGGATGGTCGGCTCATGCAGGGGGACCAGATTCTGTCCGTCAACGGGGAGGACATGAGGCAGGCCTCACAAGAAACCGTGGCAGCCATCCTTAAGGTGAAGGTAGTGGGGGGAGCACTTATTAGGTGTGTGTGGGGCCTTCAGCAGTGCAGAATGATTTGCCAGTGACAGGTCTCCTGCTGTTCTCCGTATCTGCCACAAGGCGGCACTGTAGGCTGCTTATAGAAATGCCAGCTATGTTTGAGAGGATATACCATATCAGTTCTTTGTAAAAGGAAGTCTGAATTAACATATGAAAACCTCATGAATATTAATCACTTCCCTCACTGAGTCTTTAGCCTGACAGTCTGCAGCAGAGAGGTGGCACAGCCTAATTAATGCACTTTTTTGCAAAATGTATTAAACAAACTTGTGAAATGGAAGCCCCAGTAGTATAAAGATGGAGAGAAAAATGAAAGAATGAAGATGCGGAATGTCACACATTCCATTTCAGCTGTTAACCTCAGAGTCAGGTGAGTAATTTCAGATTCGGGGGGGGGGTTTCATCAATCTCTCACCCCCCAGCTCAGTTTTAATCCAATTTCCTGTTATGGGTGACACGCCAGTGAACCTTGATGCCTTCAAATCCCCAGCAGTTAATTCCAGCCCCCGCCTCACACACACACACACCCACACACGTATAACTTTTTAAAATCTAATTCTGAAACACCATCATTTTAAATCTGTCTGACATCCATCCATCAGTAATGAAACGGTACGTGTGAGTTAGTGTGAGGACCGGGGCGCGTGTTCAGAGGAGTGTGCTGCGGTCGGGAGCTCATTAGGAGAGACTGTGTTATGATATGGATTCTGCCGCCATTAACACGCTGTCTTACTAAAAAGCAGCTGCTTTAATCACGATGCTGCCAGTTACCTCAGTGAGGGGCTTGCTAGCTGCTGCTGACAAGGACTCGGTTACTGACTGGTTCAGTGGTGGTGGCGCTGGTCTGGTTATGGGACACCAGCACAGTGTCATAGCAGAAACAGCGTTTGGCAGACTGTACGGGGCCTTTAACACACACACACACACACACACACACACACACATCTCCAGCCACGTCAATGTAGGCCAGGCTTAGCGCCTTACTGTGAGTGTGATGGAGCGCTCGGTCCTCCTGGCGGGGCAGGAAACACGCATCAGGCCAGCCCGCCGATGGCCGCGGTGATAATGTCCCGCTCGGGGACGCTTCGTGTGCTGTGAGCTGCGATTCCTGACCCGCCGTTCCCCCACCCCCAGTGCGCCAAGGGCCTGGTCCTCTTGGAGCTGGGCCGGCTGAAGGCTGCCTCCTGGGTCTCGTCCCGCCACAACTCGCAGGGGAGCCAGGTGGGTAGTGAGGTGTGCGTGCGTGTGCTTCTTCACGCCTTCCGCTATTTCTCAGTCTTTAAATAGAGACTCTGACCTGTTTGAGTTCTGGAAAGTGGGGCTGGGTGACATGAAAGTCAAATGAAAGTGCTGGCAGACTCCGCTGCGGTGCTTAGCCTGCATCCTGCTCCCCCTGCCTCCAGATGAGCCACGGCAGCACCAACGGCTCCGGCACCGGGTCCCTGGCACCGACTGCCAACCCCCCCACCTCCCATTTCACCAACAGTGTTCGGAAGCTTACGGTCGATTCTGCCGTCAAGAGCCCAGGTATGAGACACCAATCCCCCCCCCTGCTGTAGCCATCCACTGGGTCTGTCCCTCCAGTCCAGTATTTCCCAATCCGGTCCTTGGGAACCTATAGACGGTCCACGTTTTTGCTCCCTCCGTCTCCCTGCCAGACAGTACGCATTACCAGGAGCTGGGGGGCAGCAAAGACATGGACTGTCTGCGGGTCCCCAAGGAGCGGATTGGGAAACACTGCTCCAGTCCATAAACGGTACTGACCTCCCTGCTGTGGGGACAGTGGTGCTCTACAAATCCGCAGTGAGATTACGTGGGATATCCTGATTCAGGTGTAGTGTCTAATTAACTAGCAGTTAATCCATAAGTACCTGTGGGTTAATGAGGAAGAGGGGACGATGAAGGCGATGTAGTAGAGCAAAGACGGGCCTGGGTGTGAGCCGGTGACGCGCTGACAGCTTGTCGTCTCTGTGTGTCCCTGCAGGAGGCGACGTGGGGATGCGCACCGTGGAGATTACACGGGTACCAGAAGCACTTATCGCCTCCGTCCTGCCGACAGTGTCGGCGTGTTGTGATAACGCTGACCGAGCCTCCTCTTCCGTTCACGATCCCATCAGGACCCACTGATGCTCTTTGTTTCCATCGGGATAGTACCATGTATTTGTGTGTGTGGCAGTATCAGCTTGCCCTCCAGTGCTCAGTCCTGTCCCTGCCTCCCTCCCCTCCCTGAAGGGCCCTGCGGATGCCCTGGGCATCAGCATCGCCGGAGGTAAGGGCAGCCCCCTGGGCGACATCCCCATCTTCATCGCCATGATCCAGGCCAACGGCATGGCAGCCCGGACACACAAACTCAAGGTGGGCTGCTGACCCCCTTCCCTCTGACCTGTCTCCTGTCCCTCCTCCTCTCTGTCCTCCCTATCCTGCTGTGTCTCCCCTGTCCTCCTCTTCCTCAACCTTCTTCCTTCCCTTTCTCCGTCTTCTGATGGAGGACTCACAGCGGTACCGCATTATACACGTCTCTCTGTAAATCTGCTCCATGTAAAGCTGTATTCTGGGTCTCTCTGGACCCGTGCTGAGGGTGCAGGTCTTCTGGTCCAGATGTTTTGCTGCATCCCCCTCTCCCTCACTCAGATAGGCTGTTCCTCCCGCCGCTCTGGCCAATCGAGATAGAGTGGCCGGTCGCCATGGCCGTGCTCCCCCACAGTGATCCAATGCTTGGTGGCCCTGCCCCCACAGGTGGGCGACCGGATTGTGAGCATCAACGGACAGGCGGTGGAGGGCCTGTCACACGGCGAGGTGGTCAACATGCTGAAGAATTCCTTCGGCAACATCAGCCTGCAAGTGAGGCTGCGGGACATGTGGGGGGAGGGGGGTGTCTTGCTTATAACCCCATGATCCGTGTGAGACCAGCATGTCTGCATGAACATGCTCTCCATCTTACTTTCTCTCTTATCCCCAGATGCGCACACACGCACACACACATAAACGCGCACACACACACACACACACACGCACACGCGCGCACACACATGCACGCACACACACACAAACGCGCACACACACATAAACACATACACACACATATACACATATGCTCACGCCCGTACTCTCTCCCTGGTCCATCATACACATACAAACGCAAGCACACTTGCTGTACGTGTCCGTCCTCAGCTTACCCTCATAATGAGGCCAGGCCCTGACAGAGCGTAAGAGACTCTCTCTCTCTCTCTCACTCTCTCTCACACACACACACACACACACACACACACAGAATGGATGGCTCAGCTGACTTCACACCAATGCGAAGCCCATCAGGCCGTAATCTGCGAGCTCCCTGGTTCTCAGAGCGACCAGCAGAAGCTCCCTGTTTAATGGTGTGGTTTTGTCTGAGTTTCTAAGCCAGAAACAACATAATTCAGACTCCTAAATGAGTCCTCATTCGACTTAACCCACCTGTGCTCCCAGCTTCCAAACATTTAGCAGCTGTGTGTATTTGTTTACCACTGTGTCTTCAGTACAATATGTTATTTTTTTAATGGTATGTTCAGCACCACGATCAGTACAGTGTGTGTTATGTGCTCAGTGCTGTGTGTGCATGAATGTGTATTCAGTACTGTGTGTGTTATGTGCTCAGTGCTGTGTGTGCATGAATGTGTATTCAGTACTGTGTGTGTTTTTCAGCACTTT